AAAACACAAAAATGTTCTAGCATGTGTCATGAATACATAGATCAGTATAAGTTTTAATTCATTGACAGCATCTAAAAGCAAGAATAAAGTGTAAAACAAATTACCAGACAAGCTACAGGTTTTACAAACTACTTATGTATGTCCTGTTAGTCTTTTCAAAAAGTGTATATAATTGAATCAAAATCAGGCGCTTTAACCAAGAGAATCAGTTTTCTCTATTTCAAACCAAAATTGACAAAGTGGATGATAAAGTAACAATCATGTCAATGCGAGTGTTTTGTTTTGATATTTGATTGACAGTATTAATATGAACTCTTACCAATAATCAACTGCACAATACAAAGTTGTATTGATGATGTCACTGACTACCAACAAGGCTGAAATACATCATGCGTCATAAACGTGATGCAGTAGTTGCAACCATAGTTGCTGGATTATAAATGGATATATAATAATGATGAAAAAAGAAATGGTTTTCTGTTTGCAAATCCAATCTAAAAGCTGAACTATGTGAAATTTGACATGCTACTAAACATGATTTTAGTTAATTTCTGGAATGAGGAGTTTACACTTAATATTTGGACTATTGTCCTCATTGTTGCTATCACAATGTTTCGACCGCTGTCTCCTCTGGCATTTCTCAGGTGTATATTGACGTGGGTAGCCTAAACCAAACCCTTTATTTAATCTGCCAAGAGAGAGTGTGTGTGTGTGTGTGTGTGTGTGTGTGTGTGTGTTGGGGGGGGGGGGCTGTTCTTGTCCCACTGCCTATATCTAGGGATTTAACATAAGCTAAATTTTTTTAAGGTTTTAAATCATAAATAATGAATATGAAAACTCTGGCCTCAGGCAAAATACAACACATTAACTCCCCCCCCCCATTAACTTTCATTACCATCCTTCATCTAGATTAATGGGACTGACAAAGTTAATGAAGGCAATTTTAATCCAGGCATACTGCTATTTTATAATCACACTAGAAACACACAAGCCATTACTGCAATGGAATTTAGCTTTTGATTTATGCTAAGCATTCTCATCACCCGCTCACAAGAAAATGGACAGAATTGAAAAGTCCACAATCGGGTTTTGTTTATTCATTTAATAAACATGATTACGTGACATGCTATATTAAATTAGGTTTTGAAATCTCCCAAGACAAACTAATGTTCCAGTCTATTAATAAACAAACCATTGACAAATAATTATTAAAAGACTTTTGGTGAATAATATAAATCCTAAAGACGTGTGCACGAATGTTTTCATCTCTGTATCCAACCTGTCTTTTGAGGGTCTTCAGCTCTATGTTGCTATTTAAAAGATGATATCAGTTTCTTTCCCAAAATTGGTCATTAAACACAATCAAAAATATCTTCTCTATGTGGGTTTAAATAGATCTGTAAAGTTGAAAGTCTTCAAGCTTGAACTTTTCCTTAAAAGGTGTCTGAACAAATGTCACTGTAGACATGTAAAATACATTATTAAAAAAATTATACAACTGAAATAAAATAGGATACCTGTATAAAAAAGGTTTTTATAGAACTGAAGAAAAATGCTATTGAATTGAAAATTATTTTATATTAAACAGCAAAGTAAATGCTTCTATAAAACATAATAATTGAATAATTGTATATCTAATTAGAACCCTACAATTAATATTAGTTTAAAAAAAAAACAAAAAAAATGCTGACTCATGCTAGCAAAGATGATTTCTTTTTAAATTTTAGATAATTCAGGTGTTTTACACCGAAAAAATACATTCATCTCAATTTATCCACTAATAATCAAATTTAAGGCGGCAAATGTTCAAATGAAATAATTTGAAAATTTTGGATTTGAGAAAGACTGGATTATCCTGTACATAAAACTAGTTAAAAGATTTTTTGCTTTTTTAAGTTCTAAGACTGCAAAATTATTTGCAGATAATTTCTTTAAGTTAAAAAGTAGCTTTTGAAACAGATTTTTTTTTCACATTATTGTTGAGGAATTTTTAAATTAGCAGGTGATTCCATACTGATTCTCCATAGCTCTTGCAACCGATTCCAGATCAATTAAGAAACATTCTGAAAGTTTAATACATCTTTTACTTTATTTTTTTCACAGTAGGGGTATATAAGTTGACATATCGCCCGGTTCACACACCTCCTGTCTTTTGAACAGAGGTTTTCCCTTGTTTATGAGTGGGTTTCCAGTTCGTTCTAAACTAAATATTTCCTCTCTTTCACTACTAGTTGCGTCTTAGTGGTGTTATCGCCTTACTTGGGGTGAAGTGATTAAAAAAAAAATTCCAATCAAATTACAAAATGAGGCCGCTTTGCTATAAGCAACATTTTCACTAGAGCTACCAATACAAAAAATCTCTTTAGTATTATCTCAGATAATCTCTGAACTAGTACAATAACTAACTAGAAAAAAAAATAAATTAAGAAGCTGTTGTTTTGTCATAAGTACTAAGTAGTTAAAGGCTAATCTCTCAGGCTCTGCTGAGGATACTAGTGGCTTTCAGGAATGTTTAGCACACTCCACCAATCTGATTGGAAATTTAAGAAGAGGAATTATGTCAAACATTCATCTAGTGCCAAAAAGTCCTTTAGTGACTTAAAAAAAAACCCTCCACAAATGTGACCATGTGTCAAAGTTGCTGATGCCAAAGCAAAATCCTAGGCTAAAAATCCCCCAACTGCAGTGGAACATTTAAAAAGAAAAATAGAAAACTGAAGACAGTTTTTTTCAACACCCGATTCTGTTTTTTCTTTTCTTTTTCTCTTACACTTACATATTGAAGTAAAAATAATTAATAATTTATGCATTATTTTTCTCTTTATTTAAACTTTAAATAAAGAGAAAAATAATGCATAAATTATTAATTATTTTTACTTCAATATGTAAGTGTAAGAGAAAAAAAAAAAAAGAAAAGAAAAAACAGAATCGGGTGTTGAAAGACTTTTTTGTTCTTGAACAAAATAAAAATCAACACAGGGAAGAATATTAAAAGAATATATTATAGAAGATTAGAAGAATAAGATTTTAAGTTTTGTATCATTATATATTTTTTTTAAAATATACAAATATATTAAAAGAAAAATAATGCTTTCTTCTATTGCGTAATAAAAGACAGCCTCAACCCACAATAAGAAAACCTGGGAGAATATGGTACCTGCTTCCTATTCAGTGTGGGAAAGAGGTCGATTGGGAATTTTAAAATGAAAATTTCAAACGTTTCAAACAAAAGAGTTTTTTTTTTTTTTTTTGTTAAAAAATAAAATAAAATAAAAATAAATAAATAAATAAAATAAATAAATAAATAAAAATAAAAAACACCATCTCGTGAAAAAAAAAATCTATTGTCCAATAAGACCAATATTCAACAGTAAAAACTTTATGGGACGTTTTTTTTAAATTAATTTAAAAAACTTCATGTCAGATGTTGCGTTCAAATCTAAGAATTAAATTTAAAGTTTTTTGTTCTCTACTTCTGTAGACGGACATAAAACTAAAATAATCACAAATTGGAAAATAACATATTTATGATTTTAGAGAGTTGCCTCTTTCGAACCTGTTTCAACGAAATCGTTAGTCATAAAATTTTCTAATGACCCAACCCAACCAAAAAGATTTAACCTCAATACGCAACAGATCATCATTACATTTTTTATAATTTACAAACATAATGAATAAACATTACAAAGCATTTTCGCTCCTTATGGAGAGCAGAATTTCATTTTAGATCAGATTACAAATTTTAATTTTTAAACAAATATTTACTTATTTTTAGGAATTAGACAGGATAAATGAATAACAAAAGAAAGTAAAAATAATATTTATAAAGTGTTGGCAGCAGGAACAATTCTTTTGTTTAAAGATCAGAAACAAAATCGAAATAAGCCCAACGTGATATCGAAATCTGAGAAAATTAAAAAGCCAAAGTACACTCGTTCATAGAAGGATTTTCTTTTTTTTCTTTTAGTTTTTAAACATAAAACAATTAAAAGAGATTTTAGGATGGATTAAATTTTAGTAGAAAAATAAATCTAGTTTCTGTTTCCTAATCAACTTTCTAAAGAAAACAGTTGTCTAATCGAACAAAGAAATTGCGACAGAGGAAATTTAAATAAATTATAAAAATAAGGAAGTAAAGGGCACCGATCGAGTCATTGATCTTTTTTTTTTTCTTTAAGAAAAAGAAGTCAGTTTTATTTACATACAGGATACATCGATTTAAAAACAAAACTAGAAGAAGAAGAAAAAAAATCTGTATACATTTGAAACAGAAAAAAAAAATCTAGAGGTAATTTATTTTTACTTTTAGGGCAGAAAGAGAAAATTATATGGACCTCAAATATGGATTCGGGTTTGTTTATTTACGCAACTAGTTAAACGAACTCATCATTGAGGAAAGTAATTTGAATAAAATTTAACTTAGAAAGATTTTCAAAATAATATATAAATTCAAAAAGAAGATTCAAGATATAAAGGGAAAAAAGTCATTCTTGGAAAGATAAATGTACATCGTAAAACACAACAGTAAACATTATTAAAATTAGTAGCAGCAGTAGAGAAATGTAGTGGGTTAATTCATTTCTCTCCTTGTTTATTATTATGACAAAGAAGCACATGCAGCCAGCACACACATACACACTAACATATACATATATACTATTCTAGTTTACCTGATGAACAGTTTTCTAGTCTTAAATTCAAATTACGATGCACATGGCTTTAGTTTAAGAAATTAAACGAAACAGAAACACTTTTATTTTCTTTGATACACGATTGAAAGTAAAATTAAGATTTTTATTAACGCTAAAAACAACCCAAAAAACAAAGAGGAATTTCCCATTCATTTAATCTTCAAGAATTAAACTTTTTATTTCTTATCAGATTAAAAATTCCCTTTCACTAATTGAGGTTTTGACGACATCAAACATAAAGGAAGGCAAAAAAAAAAAAAATAAACACAAAACAGCCAGAGGAGAAAAAAAATCAATATAGCTACTTACGCTGGTCCCCAATCCTCCAAGAATGCAACCCATGATTTGAAAAAGGCAACTGTCAAAAGCTTCAACCGAATTTACGGTTTTCTCCGCTTTTTATAAAATTTCAACGTGTAACACAAAAAAAAGACACTTCTAACCTCGATAAAGCCAAGAACTTCCTCAATATGGCGTCTTTTATTGTGCTGACTACAGGTGTGACGTCAGAGATCACATGACCAACATCATGTGGCTGCTGCTGTTTATGATGGTGTTGCTGCAAATTGTTGCAGTTTTCGTTTCATCACATATTTCATTTTTACAAGCGCCCACAATTAAACACTAAAAAAAAATCTTTTCTTAGGGTTTCCATTCCATATATATGCAGAACCTATTCTGTATTTTGTGATTTTGTTCTGTGTCTTTTCTGTACTGACTTTTATCAGGACGCCTTATAAAAATGCCCTATATATTAAGATTTAAAAAAAAAAAATGCCCTATAATAAGATTAAAAAAAAAGACAAATTGCAACATTTAAAAAATTTTCGAATTTAAACCCTGATGGCTTGTTATCAGTATTTTTTTAGTAAGTTTTTCCCCCCACCCACCAAAGCAACGGTATTTCAACCTGGCAAGTCAGGCAACTCTAGCGTGAGGAGTCCACAGCGGTAGCTGTTAGCGACCACAGTCTGTTTCTCGCATCAACAAACAGGTTTTTACAAAGAGCTTAAAACTAGCTTTCATACACCAAGAGCGAGCCACATTACTAACTCTGCCTATGCCAGTGTATAGGCCTCACAAAATGTTCCACTATTGTGGCCTTGTGCCAGACTAAGTTGAGCTAAAAAGCTTGATGGTGAATTTGACAATAATTTAATTCTAACTAGTTAAATTGTTTTCCGTCGACAAAAATATGGCCTTGTGACAAATGAGTGGAAACAAAAGTTTTAAATTAAATTTAATGCGTCAACGAGAAGACAAAAGTGGTTTCAGTGACAGTTGAAATGATTATTTTTGTTTTAACAAATGATACAAAAAGCCTCGTCTTTAAAGCCAGTGTTTAAGTGAAATGCATATTTGTGGTTAAACAAGAAATTCCAGTCTATCGCTGAAAAAAGTAAATCACGCTGTGAATGAATGAATGTGTGCGTGGGTACGTTGCAAAGTGGTCACTTGACTCTCTTTGACTAGAAGGCCTATGTGTTCAGTGAGAGAATGTATGTGTGTGTGTGTGTATGCACGCGCGTATGTGTGTGCGTGTCTACGACTCGGAGAGACGAACGAACGGATTCGACTCTGACTCTACATAAGGACAGCGTTTATTGACTAAAGGTTAGTCAGATCAGATAAGCATGCTATTTCATGAGAGTCGTTCTGATTGGTCGATAAATCTAAAAGTGTTCCTTTTTTTTGTTTTTTCAACCTAGAGTAACTTATCCTAATTTCAATGGCCGAATTCTTTGAAGTTAGAATTAGAAGATTTTAATTTAAAAAAAAAAGTTTCTTATTGGATCTAAAATTGTCAATTATATTTGAATTTGGATTTGCTTCAAGTTTCTGGTACCTACTATGTAAAATTAGATATCAGATACCGAAATAGAATTGTTACTGCGGGTGTTGGCTGTGAAAGCCTAAGTTCCTGCTCCCTTTGTCAATGGGTGTAACAGAGATTTACTGCAACTACTAACTAGGGTTAAGTACGTTCAGGTGGAGTACTTTGCCCAAATGCTCATAAACCCATTCTCTTCTCAATCAATTATCGTGAAATTATGGGCTTTCGAAAAAAAATCTAATCGGGTAGGGGGGGATGCATTCCTTAAAAGTGATAATAAAACATTGCGTGACGTTCTCTGTGGCCGAGATTGTTAAAACATGCCAGACCAAACGGTGGTTTCTCCTACAAAGGGTGACGCAGTTTCGAGTACATTTTTTTATTAAAATTGATCGAGTGCGCATGCTGATAGGCGTAATTCACTCTGCTTAAAAATAAGAACGGGGTGCTTATTTCAAACACGTGTATCCAGTATATATATATATTAGTAGATACTTAATAGTTCTGTTATATTACATCGAGCACAATTTTATTAACAACACCAATACTCATTGTGCAATATATCTATATATATATATATATATATATATATATATATATATATATATATATATATATATATATATATATATATATATATATATAATATAACAGAACTATTAAGTATCTACTAATAAATGGTTAGTCTCTAGCACCTGAAGATTGCGTTGTGCTTAAAATTCCGAGTCTTGCTATCGGCGAAAGAATAATATATATAAAAGGCTCAAACACTAATATTCCATGGTTATAATTTATTACATTGGAATCATAATCACGATCCAAATCACCAGACCTTTAAATTCAATTTTTTTTAATTTGTAGGTCTGATAATTTGGATCGTGATTACGATTCCAATGTAATAAATTATAACCATGCAATAGTGTTTGAGCCTTTTATATTATATATCATATTCTTACTCTGTCCTGGACGTTGAGTCATACCTAGATTCTATCCTCTTGGGAATTTTTTATATATATATATATATATATATATATATATATATATATATATATATGAATAGCTATTATAACATGATTTCGTTGTCAAGCTTTTGAATCTTCCTATACTTGGGTTTTGATTGGTCATTCTAGCTTTTGTAACAATGTTTTCCCCTAGCGAAGGATCGTTAATTAATTTGAAACTTTTAAAACCATTTATTTTATATTCGATATGATCACTTGATAAGACACCGAAGGTGTTGAAACAAAATGGCTATTTTTGTAGTGATTTTATAGCATATTTATGTTATAAATTTTTTTTTATAAAAAATAATATATATATATATATATATATATATATATTTACCACTAATATTATCACTATATATATATATATATATATATATATATATATGTGAGGTGTTTGTGTGCGTGAGAGAGAGAGAGTGAGAGAGAGAGGGTGAGGTTTAAGTTCTACCGGTTGTATTAGATAGACATATCTTAAATACTTCAAGTATGGATTTTAGTTGGTGATATAATAAATGTGTGTTTAACGTGTGCTTAGAGATGGCAAAATATTTATGCAAAACTCTCTTGAAATATTTCCTTCGTAAAAAATTATGTTCTTTTCTAATTAATTCTTTACGGAGGAAATATTTCGAATATTTTTATATTTAAAAAATACATTCATTCATTTTTTAAATACAAAATAAACTTTTAACAAATTGAGTGCCAACTATGAGATAACATGTAGTACTAATTACGAGTTATCAGATCTCGTATTTGGCATTTTTTGGTACATTTTTGTCTCCGGGCACCAACAACGAGTTTATTTGCTGTGATACTTTTAGTGTGAGAACAATGTTAAGAATTCAGTTGAAGCTATATCTCATTGGTTCCCAACTTTTGGGGAGGTGGGGGGGGGCATGTCCAACTAAAGCATCTCTGAAATCCTGATGCCCCCCCCACTGCCTATGACATATAATTCTTATTATTCAAAATGTGAACTCCTAGGAAGCCTAAAACGCCATTAACTTAGTCTAAACAAGCTTCCAAAGAACATGGCGTCCATGAAAGAGAAAAATAAAAGAACAGTTGAAGTACCGAGGAAGAAATTACTAAGAAATTGTTAAAAAAATAATATATATATTTATATTATATACAGTACGTAATTACATATGTACATACACAGAAATATTTTTATGTATACATACTGTATATGTGCTATATGTATTAACTTACACACACACTCATACTTACACAGACTCACTAGAAAAAAAATCACTGTTAATAACCCATTCTCGAATTGTCCCCTTTAAAAATGAAATTGTCCCCTTTAAAAATGAAATTGTCTCCCTGTAGTGCTTGCACCCTACGTTGGGAACCATGGCTATAAATCAACTCATAAAAATATTTTGTTGCCTCAGTTGGTTATTATAAATTTGGCATTTGAAGTCAAATTTCGTAATTGACCTCTGGAGGTCAACATGTTAACTACTTGTCGCCTCAGGGTATCAAACTCGATGTGTGACAATTAGTAATGAGTAGTGAGTGCGATCCTCACTAGGTGCCCCATATTTATAGTTTTGTCTCCAAATTGACCTGAGCTTAGTAAAGCGGTTGACTGATTTTCTTTACGGCATATCAACCCTTTCTGGGTTATTTAAAGCCGAAATATTTTGAATTGTAAAAATAATCCCTTATTCTTTTTTGTAAGTGAAAATTGCATTAACAATTTGGGGGAGATAGCAATCTTTCCAGATATCTAACCAATAGCTAGCGTAGACAAGATGGATTTATACCTTTTCCAAGGGAATTTGTGTGTAATTAAATGTCAGCGAACTTGACTGGAATTCGAACTCGGCTCTCCGAGTTTCCATTCCGAGATGGCCTTGTATAAAGAAGTATAAAAGGAAAGGGTATAAACCGTCTTCTTTCTTCTTTTATTCTCCAATGAAATTATGCCTGAGTGACAAGACGTGTTTCATTTCCCATCGGGGCTTTTTAGTCCCCAGGCCAACTTCATGTCGCATACAACACAATATTATCATTTCACTATATTTTCATTCGACCACAATAATATCTCCACTACAAATTACCACATAAATATATCTCTTTGCGATACAAGAATATATCCCTCTTCTGCAAACTGATCAACGCCCGCCACAAGTGGGACCTAGAGGTGAACCCATAGCTACGTATGCAAATAATCATAAATAAAAGGTACTTTTGTGTCGTGTAAAATAGAATTGTTTGTCTCATATTAGCAGGTGGTGGGAAGACTGATTATACTCGTTTTGATTGATTGATTCCTTTTCTAAGGCTTCCCTGAGCACTTCAGTCTTAACTTCTTTAAGTCAATGGCCAATCATTATATTTCCTTCTTATATTCATAATCTTCACTTCCAGCCACTTCTCTTCATATCACGCACATCATTCATCATTATAATTTAGACTGTACCGTTCTACCTTGAGTGGCACTTAAGCCTTTTACTGAGTTAAATTTAGTATATATATATATATATATATATATCCAATGTGATGAGAACGAAAGTAATATATAAATTCCAACGTTCACAGCATTAATCCAAAAATAGTGTTCGACACCGATAGTAGAGCGATAATTATTTATTTATTATAATTTTATCATACAGACAAAACCATTTTATTCACTACAAAGATGCAACTTCGTTTCAGTGCATTTCAACTGCACTTCGATGGGTGATCTGCCGAAGTGCAGTTGAAATGCAGTGAAACGAAGTTGCATCTTTGTAGTGAGTAAAACTGTTTTGTCTATATGATAAAATTATAATATATATATATATATATATATATATATATATATATATATATATATATATATATATATATATATATATAAAAAAAGAACGATAACAGCTACTGGAGTTGAGAAACCTGTTTTCCAAAGAAATTGTTTTAAGAGAAAGATTTTATAAATTTAAACTGAAATCAGTACTGATTGCTCGGTCAATAAATGCCAAATGTTTCTTTATAGGGAAACGGCTAATATTACCATTATCAGATAGATAGATAGATAGAGACCGACAGACATAGATAGATAGATAGATAGATAGATAGATAGATATAGGTACCTCCATAAAATATCTAACAAAATAGCATCCTGTGATGAAAAAAAATGATCCAAAAATAATGAAAACACAATTTTATCGTTAAAAATCTTTGTTATAATTAAAAAAAGGAAAGATCAAGTATTTTTTTAAAATGTTTACTTTAATTATTTTTTAATCCTTTAATATTTGAAATTTTGATTAAAAATCTTTTTCTTGCGTCATCGGGTGTATTATAATTTAACAGAGCAAATTTTAGCGTGTTTTTTTCGGTGACGGACACATTTTGTAAATTCTTGAAAAAATCAAATAATTGCCGGATTTTAATCTGTACGTGTGTGTATGTGATTTTTTTCTTCATCCTTACTATAAATTTATTCCAGTTGTAGTTAGTGAATTAGTATCAGGGAAGTACTAACAATGAGCTATTTCCTCATCACTGACATGGTAAAATATTGCCCTGCGACAGATTCTGCGCAGTTGAATAAGATCGATACTGCGTATTTATTGAAATCTACACGAAAATGAGTCCAGATTTCAGGGGAGATTACTTCATATGCCATTATGAAAATATAGTTGTCTCCCCTGAATTACACTTCATAAATGTGCGAAAAAAGAAACGGTACAAAAAGATAGGGTCTGTTACGGTTTACCGGGCTTGCTTTTCTTTTTAAATCAATTCACCCCAAGCAAGGCAATAATGCCAATAAGACGCAAGTGGGATATTGGAGTGAACAAGAACGAAAAAACTTTAAAAGAAATCGGAAACCCCATCTTAAACAGGAAACAAGGGATAAAGCGCTATTCCTGTTCAAAAGACCGTGCGAACCAGATGATAGGCGAACCTATATACCTACTCAAAGGATAATAGTTAATATTAAGCTGTTTCCATATATTTGGCATTCACTGACAGAGCAGCCAGTTCCACTATCGGCTGAAATTAATAAAATCTTTCTCTTAAAATAATTTCTCAGGAAAATGGGTGTTTCTCCAAAAAATAAATCTTGCACAACAACAACAAAAAAAAAGGGTGAAAAAGGTGCTTAAATATAAAAATATAAGATATTTTTATTTTCGTGTTTTTTTTTAAACTAAATATTTCTTCGCGTGTATGAGCGCTAAAATTCTTCCAATTCTTGTTTGCAGTTGTTTGTGAAGATGAAAACAAATGTGATTTCTTTGCGTGTGTATAAGAAGAGGCAAGATTAAGGTTGCTAGATTAGAAAATTAAAATACATTCTTAAAATCTATATATATATATATATATATATATATATATATATATATATATATATAGAGAGAGAGAGAGAGAGAGAGAGAGGGTGTGATGGATATATTGCCGTCAAATTACGCAAAAATTTGTGTGTGCGTAAGAAGAGGCAAGATTAGTGTTGCTAGATTAGAAAATTAAAATACGTTCTTCTATCCCTCTCTCTCTCCTCTCTACATATATATATATATATATATATATATATATATATATATATATATATATATATATAAATATATAAGAGAGAGAGAGAGAGAGAGAGAGAGAGAGAGAGAATGAGAGAGAGAGGGAGGAAAGGGTGCGATGGGTATATTGTCGTCCAAATTACGCAAAAATTAAAATAACACTAACATCTCATTTTAACAGATATATTTACCAAAATTACACAAAAAATATCTTGAAATACTAAAGATTAAATTTATTCAATAAAATCGCCATTGGTTTCAACCATGGCCTCCAGACGACTTTGGAATTTCTTGCAACTCTTCTGAGCGGTCGCCTTGTTTAAGTTAGTGAATGCTGCCATTCAGTTCATCATTGGTGTTACAAAGAGTTTTGTTGGTCTCTTGCTCAACTGCGCCCCACACACAATAATCAACGGAGTTGCAGTCTGGGGAGTTAGGTGACCAGATGTAAGCACTGATGTGGTTGCAGAAATTGTCTGACAGACGTGACTGGGTTCTCCTGCTTGTGTGGCATGGTACAGAGTCATGTTGCCAGACATACGGTCTTCCAGCACCCATCCTCTTCAACCAGGGCAGTATTACCTACTCAATGCACTTGATGTGGGTCTCCGTGTTGAGTCTGAGGCCCCCTGGGAAGATGAATGGAGGCATAACGTCGCCATCACGAGTGAAACCTCCAAACACCATTATGTTGACTGGATATATCATAACTTTTTCCGAATCCTCCGAACTGTTCTCAGATTGACAACCAAACACTCTGAAATTTTTGTATTGGAGCTTCTGGCACGAATGCTAAGCAGTACAGCATGTCGTTTCCAAATTTATGGCGGAGTGAATTGCGTCATAGTGCTCTTTTTCTCACAGACGTTGCCCAACTGACCCTACTACTGTGCAGTCGACAAAATAAAAAACAAACAACGCGCATGCGCGAAATTAAAAATATAAAATGGCGACAATTTACCCATCGTTCTCTCTCTCTCTCTCTCTCTCTCTCTCTCTCTCTCTCTCTCTCTCTCTCTCCACCAAATCGGTTGTAAAACAATACGCTAGCGGCTAGATGTGGCTGACTCAATTTGTCGAGTGAAGATAGCTCAGTGGTAGAGACTCTGACTAACATCAAATCGGTTGGGTTTCAATTCGGATGTCTAGTCGCACTGAAGAGCTGCGAAACTACTGTCTGTGAATAGCATATATATATATATGCTATTCACAGACAGTAGTTTCGCAACTCTTCCATATATATATATATATATATATATATATATATATGTTGCTGGTCCGGTAGCGTGCAGTGCTGGTTTATTAAAAAGTGGCCTTGTGCCAGACACTACACAAAACTACCGAATCCACAAACAAAGTAAAAATATTGAGTGAGTGAACTTAGTGAGGAAAAGGGGTCATTCAACAAGTGCATAAATATAATACAAGTAGATAGACGGAATTAAACGACAAAATGAGTCTGGTTGAAAAACATATATGAAATTTTATTATATTTAAACAAGTAATTGTCTTAACAGTTGAGACCATTAGTAAAAGTGTTCCGCGCCAAAACAGAAAACCAAGATGGCCAAGGCGGGAAAAGTTCTGGGAAAATGACTTGTTAAACGAAAGGTGTATGTGTACACAAATAGGAAAAGTACTCACTGTGAAGTTTGATAGTGTGAGTGTATGTAATATTTTTTAGGTACTGGTTCAAAGTAGTTAGAAGGTTCAAAGGTGTATGAACAGATTATCAACTTTCATTGAGGAGAATTCAGAGTTGTTTGCATCAAGACGAGGTTGAGTCTTGGAATGGTGTGAGAGCGACCGTGTTGTAGAACTCTGGTAGTGAATAGAGGAAAGTTCGAAAGTTGTTCGCATCAAGACAAGATGTTGGTCCTGGAAATATATATATATTGACGACGGTGTCGTAGGAACTCGACATTTTCTAGTTGAAAACGGAGAAAAGGTTCAACAAGCTGTTGCATCAAGACGGGGATAAGTCTTGGAAAAATATATATTGACGACAGTGTCGTAGGGACTCGACATTTTCTAGTTGAAAACGGAGAAGGTTCAACATGCTGTTGCATCAAGACAAGGATGAGTCTTGGAAAAGTGTAATATCGACATGTTGAAGTTTTAGTTAGTTAAGAATAAGATATTCCGGCCCGCGTATGGGTTAAGGGCACGGAATAAATGAGTTGTCCGTCTAGCTTGAAAATTGGGATGCAACTGAGTTGGAAACGCTGGACGTCAGGAAAACGCGCGGGAAAAATTCAAATTCTGATTTTAGACGTTATCAGGAGCAGCTAGCCAAAAAGGCTGTTTACTGCTATGTCTTGCTTAACGAGAGAGGAAGGGGTGCAATCCGCGGGCGCAGGCGCGCACACACGCACAAGTGTGGAAGGAAGGGAGGAAAAACTCGCGCGCGCGTAAAATGTAGGTGTAATTACTGTGTTATTCCACATATATATATATATATCAACGGACTAATAGGAGTCGTTAAAACCGATTGTCCGTAGATGGGAAGGGATTATTTTTGAGTTATAAAACCGTTATAGTAACTACCAGTAGTTATGATCAAAATGCAAATACTATAAACATATGTATATGGCATAAATAAATATACACTGTACTGTGTATATATATACAGCATAACGTATATATATAATCATATATCTACGGCACACACACACACACACACACACACACACACATACATATATTGTATTAATTATACAGTATATATATGCTGTATACATATATCCCGCCGGGAGAGACAGGCTAGATAAAGAGAGAATTGTTGGCTGTTGATAAGATAGGAAGATACAGGCTTGGTAAGCAAATACCGATACTGCGGAGTATGGGAAAAATGTGTAGTGGATCTAAGAAGGTTGCGTGAATATTTAAGATTGTGCTGTAAATAAAATATGCAATATCGACAAACATAAATTATAAGAAATGGCCAAATGGTAACGATATTCAATCACGACAAAAAATACATGTTTGAAACAACATATTAAATTTTATATACAATTTCTTTGTTTGTAATGATTTGTGCAAAGGTATATTTTAAGGAAAAGGTCTTTGCTGTTTCGGAAATGTTCAATGTCTAAAAAGTTCTTTGCCTTTGATTAAAAAGGTTGAATTTAACTTAGACAAAAGATTTTCTATGAAAGATATTGAGTGAAAAAGTTTGTTGTGTAAAAGTTTGTTTCTTTGGTGGCACATAATACCCGTGTATATCTTTTGCGTGTGTGAGTCTCAAATGCGACGAAAATTCGTTTAATATTTCTATTTATAGTTTTTTTTTTTTTTTTTTTTTAACAACGAAATCGCCTCCAACAGGGTTTGGTAGCTGTTGTGAATTTTTCTGAGAAATGCATGAGCGAATGTTGTATTTTTTTATTTTTTAGCCAATAGGATTTCTTGAAACATTTAAATTAGGGAGGAATTTGAGAAAGATTTTTTTACGTCGGTTGAGCCTATTTTTGCACAAATTTTGACTTGTTATCGAAATTTCTCGAAGCTTATTTTTATTTAACAACCAATGAAATTCAAGAAAATGTTTGAAATTGAAATGGGGGTTAATGCCC